ACATATTTCAATGACCTCCACAGAACTTGCATCCCTAACCCTCTTCTTCTCTCTTTTCACTCTCCCCATAGCCGATACATTACCACTCCAAAACTCGGCCGACCACCACCATGGTGACCGAATTTACTCCGACAGGTAACTCTAGAAGCTTCTCTTCACTCAACACCACACACACACACAGCTTGTTCAAATAGCCAGAGCCATGGCACTTGACCACCGGACATGAGGTTTATCTCCTTTCGGCCAACGAACCCAACAACAACAAGGTAAGTTTTTAACCTCTCTTTTTATTTATTTATTATTATTTTCTGCTATTAATTGGATTGATTAAGTTCAAAATAAATAAATAAATAAAATTCGATTGTTTTTTATTTCGAATATGTGTGAATATATTAATGTTTATAACACCTAAAATGACATACTATTTCGAAAATAATAATAAAAAATAACTACTGGAAATAAATAAAAATACTATTAAAAAAATTCAAAACAGAAAATCAATACGAAATAAAAATGAAGAAGCTATTCTAAAGTAAAAAAAAATAGAAAAACAACCTTTAATTTAGTGGTTTATTTCTTCTAAAAAAAAAACGTCCTCCCCTAATTTTCATTTTCATTCGTAGTCATTTTCTTACATAACTTTTACATAAAAATAAAAAAATAATAATTTGCAATGTGATAATACTTTAAATCATATCTCACATGATTGGTAGGAAGCAAGCATTAATACTCTGGGGGCAGTGATGTCAGCGAGTTGCTTTGACTACGGCCAGGTGAAATGAAGTGTCTACACATCTGTTGCTAATCTTTACAAAAATAATGAACATATAGAGAAAAATGTCGACTACGATGTCAATATCGGAGCTAGATGACGAAACAGTGCGCAGCATGTCGATTGGCGCAGTTTTCTCAGACTTTGTAATATTTTCATCGCTGTTTTTTCTCTTTAGTTCTGTGTTAGATCCGCCATTTCTGTAAACCTTTTGTTAAGCTACAAAAGTTATTAAAAAACCAAAAACAGCTTCTTCAAGCTTCCGATTTATTTGATATTTTTTAAATGCATCAATTCAATAAATGTGAGGCTTTTTTACTTCAGCCTTCTGATTCGAATTTTCGTCTCTGAATATTCAAATTGATTCATTTTTACTTGGTCAAATATTTTCAGGGAGGAAAGATAAGTTCACTTGACTTTCACCGAAAGGATGACCTATTGGTGAAAGCTAGTGAGGACGATTCAGTTCGCCTCTACGACATTGCCAATGCTAAGTTAGTTTTTTTTTTTCCTACCGTAATCGAATACAGAAGGAAAAGGAGAAAGAAAAGAAATGCATTGCCACTGATTTAATTAATATCAAAAATTTTAGTTGCAAGTTTAGCGAGAAAGTTTTAGTTTTAGCATGATTTGAATTTTGATTATTTCGATGATTTCTGCTTTGTAATTAGGTTGATAAAGACAACATATCATAAGAAACATGGTGCTGATCGATTATGTTTTACGCACCATCCTAGTTCTGTTATATGCTCTTCGAGACACAATTTGGAATCGAATGGAGTTGAGAGTTTCTTAGGACGACTTAAGCTTTATTCTCATGTACATTAACCAAATAACAGTTATTGTATCTGCTTTTTCTCTTTTGTTAACAGAAACCCTATGGTATCTTTCTATGTATGATAACCGATGTATTCGCTACTTCAAAGGAAAATAAAGGTTGGTAATTCTTGTCATATTAATGTTGTCCGAATAGGTTAAGGATATCTGGTTCGCATGTGATTTGTAATTAATTTAAGCAATCAGTTATGGAATAAAAGAGCCACATAGCTGCCCATGTTTAATGTTACTTTAGTTATTTCAATATTTCAATGAAGGTTTTTTATGTTAACTTCATGCAGCATGTTTTTGAAATCTGTGTGCATATCCATATATTCATCTGCATCACTTGTTTGTAGAACCTATTAAAACTATGAAAAAGTAATGTGTCCTTGAATTCTCTACACTTCCTCAACCAGCCTTTTCTATTGTTGATTTGCCAACACTATTATTGTAATGAGTTTCCCTGGATCTGCTGCTGCAGAGTTGTTTCCCTCTGCATGTCTCCGGTAAATGATAACTTCATGTCAGGTTCTTTTGATCACAGTGTGAGGATTTGGGATCTCCATGTAAATGACTGTCAGGTTTGTTTCCGGTTTCCTTTGAAATTTTTGCAAATGTTGGGTACTAAGAATTGATTTATAAATTATGAAGACAAATTTCTTCCTTTAAGAAATAGACGTGCTTAATTGGGAGCAATATTTTTCCTCCGTTAGTCCATTCCCCTAAACAAGGCAGACTGAGGGACATTCAGTCTAAAAATAAGCCAAAAAAGAAAGTTTCTGAAATGAGCAATCATTGTTAACCGACTGTTTTGCTATACTATTGGCGACCTTATGTTTTCAATCCGCATTTCATCATCTAATCTTACACAAATGGTATTTCTGCTTACTCTTGTAGTTTTCAGGGAATTTTACACCTACATGGTAGGCCTACTGTTGCATATGACGAACAAGACCTTGTATTTGTTGTGGCTATGGAAGGAGGAGCTATTAAATTGTTTGATTCACGCTCCTATGACAAGGTTTTAAGTTTTAACCCATTAAGGACTTGCATGTGTTTTGGTACATCTGTATTATGAGTTTGCCTTATTTCTTTCCCTTTTGGGGATTATTATTGTAACGAGTTTGATTTATTTCTTCTAATATAGGGGCCTTTCGATACATTTTTTGTCGGTGGAGACACAGCTGAGGTTTGCAATATCAAATTCAGAAACGATGGCAAAACCACAAATAACAACATATACGTTCTTGATGCATATGGAGAGAAGGTTAGTTACCCTAATTAAACCAGTTCTACACCAGAAGTTGTTTGCTGAAAGGCCCCAGCTCACCTTTTTCTTCAAGTGCTTCTCGTTTTTCTCTTGTGTAGCTTCTATGGAATTACAAATACATTACCATTATGGGTTCTAGCAAGTGCTGCACATCCCTTCTTTCTTTCCCATCTTAAAGCAAAGAAGGAAAGGAGTATATACCATATGCAGTTCTGCAAAAACCTTGTAACAACTGCCACTTTGTATGCTCTAGAGACTTTTTTTTTTTGCTTTGTTCTCTCATGATTGTTTTTTCAATGGGGTTCTGTTATTGGGACTCATGCGAGAATGTTGGATACGGGTATGCACTCGACATGAGTATGTTTTTTCATGTATTGTGAGGGTATTATCTTTTACCCATATCTAAGAATATGCTGGATTTGAATACTTAAAAAGTTGAAGAGTTGGAACAACATACGATGGGGGATGGTAAGCGCACCCCGTGGAACCTATTTTCATTGTTCATCATTTTTGTCATCATCATGAAAATGATATTATTATAAAAAAATGCATGGTGATTTACAATTTGAGAATGTGGTAGCAGTTATACATCATATAATGACAGCTTTAACTGTTTCTCTACCAGGTAGTCGCTTAGAACAGCCACATATGTAACACCCTAGACTTGTACGACATACAGTTGACCGATTTAAAGTGTTACACGGAACCACCAAAATGGCTAGCCAACTTATTCTTACTTTCTTTTTACTTTAAAACGACCATTATAACAATCAACCATAAAATAAACTGAAATATAATAAAAATTCTTTACACCGAGGAGCTCCAAAATAAAATATTTACACTTCAAAATAATACATACCACTCTACTGAAACTACGACTCAACTAAACAATAAAATTTACAAATATACATCCCCTTTAAAAATGCTGAGACATACTTTGAATCTGCAATGGTCTGAACTAGACCTTGGTCTATCTACTATTCCTCACTTGTTGGATCTACTAACCTATTCACGAAAATATCCGAAGGTTGAGCTAGCTAGCTCAATGTCACACTAATAATAGCTAAAACATACTAATTGCATATCACTGAAAGGTTTAAGCAATCAAGTCTTCTGATCTGATCTGCTTAGTGAGTATACTCGTATAGTCACTCTCTACGTTATGGTAGACATTGTGGTACGACTGAGAGATTATTGCATCTTGGAGCTCATACACCCCTCTAGTCTACCAAGGATATGGCCCCCGGAATTTTGCATCGGACATCATACCCCTGACTAATTCACCCAGTGCGAGTGTCAGGCCTCGGCCTTAGTTAGTCGGTTTTAAGGGCCTTGTGCCCTGCCTAAGGATATATCTGAAATGCATCTATGCTTTCGACTCCGCTAGCTTTTCTAAAGGAACTCGGGTGTCCCCATCATTTCCCGAGTATCAAACAAGGCTAATCTTATTTCGCCCTAATTATTTACGTTTCTACGTTTGATTAAACACTTTTAATATTGTTCTCACTTGTAGTCTTATTAGAGAGAAATAATAAGCTTGTGGAAAACCTCAACTCGTCTTAAAATCCCTTAAAATTCACTGCCTAAAAATGTATATTAGTATCGATACTAACTCTTTAATATCGGTACTACTACTACCCCTTTGGTATTGATACTTTTGCCTTTAAGTATCAATACCTCACATTACATTAATGGAAGTCATTGTCACAAAACAAAGACTGAAATTGAACCATATTTCGCTATAAAAGACCAACCTTCAATTTTCAAGTTGCAATTGATTGCAGAACAAGAATCATCACACCATTTTCAATCAGTCAAAAATAAAATTAAAAGAAAAAATGGGAATTTAACCATGAAAGTTGACTAAAAATTAATCATTCAAATACCTTCGTAAACAAGTTTAGATAAATCATACTAAGTTTCAGTACCAATTAAGATCGAAAGAACTATAATGGTTAAAAAAAAACATATAATTATAGTAAAAGAACTACTACTACCCCTTTGCTTACAGACGACGAAGGTTCGATCTTAAAATGGTAATGGAATAAAACGTTAAACAACTATCAGATAAAAAAAATTAGACACCAACGAAGAGGAATATAGATTGAACACTTATTATTCAGTTAAAAGTTTCACAAACTAGACAAGAACCATGTTCTGTCCAACAACAGATTAGTTTCACCAATTAAAAAACTACCATGTTTTGAATGTTGGACAAGTGATTGAGGAAGAGCTAGATTGTAGGTACAATATATTTTCATTTTACAACAAGAAAGTCCCCCCAAAAGGAAAACCATCGAGTGGACAAGGACGAGAGCTTGTGAATATGAAAAATTTTATGCTACAACACTTGCTCTTCATTGCTTCAATTGGATTCTTCATTCAAAACTAAAATGTACGGAGAAAGTAACCAAGTCTTATCAGTATGATAAAGTGAAGCAACCAATCGGGATAAAAGAAGAAGAAAAGTAATTGGTTATATTCAAAAAAATATTGGAAGTAGTTTTCAAAAACATTCCAGGAAAAAAAGAGAAACGATATGAAACACAAGTGTTGGATCCTTTCAAGGCTTAAAAAAGTGTAAAGCTTACCCTTCAGAAATTCAAGACTCTTCAGAGAACTCTGCAGTGCGGGGGGAGCTTGGACAGCTCGGTTTTGTTTTCTGCTAATCGCATGGTAAAGGATATATTGAACGAATGCAAATTGGAGAGGCATTGCAAGGCTTCCTTCGAGGGAAGATGCATCAGATTTTTACAATGCTGAAATTTTAGAATCTGAAGAGAGGAGAGGTTTCCCAACCACTCTGGCAAAGCTTTCAGTCCACCAAAGTCCCGAATTTCTAATTTCTCAAGTGCAGTGAGGTGTTGAATTTGATGTGGCAAAGAGCATAGTGATGTATTATCCCATCCCTTCAAATCCAATTCTTTAAGGGAAGAGTGGAGGTGGTGGATGGGACCAAGACCTGGGAATTCCTCTTAACTCTTTTGAGAAGGAGCCCATTCGCTATGTTTTCAGACTTATGAGGCACCCAAGGCTCTCTTCTGGGACCCTTTTCAAGTTATCACAACTACCAATGCATAATTCTTCAAGGGAATGCAATTGCCCTATATCTTCAGGAATGGACTCCAAATTATCGCATTCGTCTATGAATAAGTTAAGAAGAGAAGTACAAATTGACAAACCAGATGGTAGACTTGTTAACCCTCTGCATGCTTTCAGCTTTAATTCTAAAAGAGAGGACAAACCATCTAAACTGGGAATGGACTTTAAGTTCTTGCATTCCCTTATTGTTAAACTATTGAGAGGAGACGAAAATGGTTCATCTCCCATCCAACCTAACTCAGAACACCAGGTAATAGTGAGTTCCTCAAGAGAAGAAAATCTGTTCATTCTTGGAACACTGTTTAGATTGTGACACTCTATAATATTCAACACTTTTAGTGATGGAAATGCAGGAATTGTCAGCTCCACTTCTAAACATTCTTTTACCTCTGGCACATTCTTTAGGGTAAAATTTCCAGTGCTGGAAATAAGATGATTGGCCAACTTTTATCACAACTATTCATATAAAATTCTTTTCCTAGGCACCTTACACTCTTTAAACCTGCTACTTCACGAAAATAAAGATTGGGATATTGCCCAAGAGTTGGAAGATTCTTCACATCCCAACTCTGTAATAGCTTCAACTCCACCAGATTCATGGGTTGAAAACAAGCACCTGTTAATCCTTTGCATTCATCACCTAACCAACCCAACAGAGAACACCCGGGGACCTCAAGGTTCTCGGGAGAAGAAATCTACTCATTCTTGGAACACTGTTTAGATTGTGACAATTTATGATTTTCAACACTTTTAATGATGGAAATGCAGGAATTGTCGGCTCCACTTCTAACCATTTTTTTTACCTCTGGCATATTCTCTGGAGTAAAATTTCCAATGCTGGAAATAAGATGAGTGGCTTATTCTCATACAACCATCCATATAAAATTTATTTCCTGTGCCCATCACACTGTGTAAGTCTTTCATTTCAAGCAATTTGAGATTAGGATATTGCCCGAGTGGTGGTAGATTCTTCACATTCATACATCCTAATAGTTTCAGTTCTACCAAATTCATGAGTTGAAAAGCAGAACTTGGGGGGCTTGGGGCACCACTAGTCTTCCCTAGCAACCATGAAGGACAATACTCACCCTTATAATACCGAATAGTTAAGCTTTTCAAATTCGAGTGAGGCTCCAACCCTTCCAACACTTCTCATCTCTATTGTATCCCTGTTTTAAGGAGTCCAACTCCCAATGGTATTCCAACTTGTGTAATTTCTTTTTCTCCCATAATCTTGCTCCCCTAGCTTCTTCTTTGTCTCTAACATTCTGAAGATCATCGATGACCAATTCTCCTCCAAATTCAACTAAAAATCCCAATTCCCCAACCCCTCTACCCCTTTCTCTGCCAACTTTAAATAATGGCAAAGTCTGAAGATTAGTTAAGCATCCTATCTCAACAGGAACATGATGTCCAACACTGATGTATAAATGCCTCAAGTTGACTAAACTTTTCATTCCTCCTGAGAGTTCTTTGAGCCCGAAGCACGTCAACAATCTTAATGTCTCCAAAAGGTGGAGCCGAGCAATGGACTTTGGTAGTCTCTCTATGTCAGTTCTCGAGATATCAAAGTATCTCAAATGATTTAGCTTGCCAATCGAATCTGGCAATGATTTAATATCAGCACCACCAAATTTAAGAACACTTAAACCTTTGAAGTCCATTACAATATGGAAGGAGCTGGTCAAATTTAAGAATAGAGAGTGCCACAATTTCACATCATCAGACACATTTTGTTGTTGCCTAATAAGTGAAACGGACTGAGCAACATCATGAACTAAATCGTGCACCTTGCAGCTTGTAATGAACTAAATCTTTTTCAACATCCTGCAACAAGGAATTCAATAACAAGTCATTGAAGTACTCATTACCAATATCCTCAAATGCCAGTTGTGAACATCCTTTGGGTTGTTGAAGAAAGCCTTCATCCGTCCAAAGCTGGATCAATTGCTCCCTTTCGATCTTGAAATCCTTGGGAAATGGAACAGTATGCGAAGCACTGCTTTAAAGATGGAGAAGACAAGCAGTCAAAACTTAATTTCAGAACCCGTACAATCCCTTCATTCTTTTCTAATGAACCCCAAATAGAGTTATCTCTTAGTGACAACCACTCGTCTCTATCCCATTTGTTGCACATAGTTCCGCCTATAATCGTTGCGACCAATGGCACGCCTCCACATCTACGAGCAATATCTCATCCAACAGCTTCCAGTTCTGGCGATAGGGGAGAGTTTCCAAATGTCCTTTCTTTGAAAATGGACCAACACTCTTCATCCATCACTGCCTTAAGACGATGCCTGTGATCAGTTGGTGTTTCCCTTACTAATGCCACGTTTTCACTACGATTTGTGACAAGAATCCAACTTTGTTTACTTTCATTTATTCCCTGCAGACTGCCCCTTAAGTCCTCCCAATTTTTAATGTCCTCATCCCACACATCATCGAGGACAAGAAGGAAGCTCTTCTTTTTCAACTCCTTTTGTATTCCTCGAAGTACAACATCCACGTTCTTGATCTCGCAAGGTTTTCTAGTTAGAGATTCTAAAATCTCCACTAAAATCCTTGGGACATCAAAATTCTCAGCCACACAGACCCATATGATCGTCTTAAATGGTTCTTTACTATGTCATTGCTACATACGGACTTTGCTAAATTAGCTTTCCCATACCAGCCATGCCTACTATGGACTATTAACAAACTTTGGTGAGGGGTTGAGCCAATCAAGAGATCAACTACTCTTCGGACATCAGCTTCCCTTCCCACAACACGTGATGAATCAACAAGGGAGTGGGTGCCTCCTACTCCAATAGACACTAGAGTCGAAACTTGAACTCGTTGTTGGAGTCCTAACTCAGTGGCCTGAAGGTTAACAACCTTAATGGATTGGCTAATATTCTCAACCCTTTTGGTCATCTTTAGAGCAGTTGCCATGGGAATTTTGGTGGGAGAAAAGAAGTTGTTTGACCTGTGTTCTCTTTCTGGTGTCCACCTTGATGCGAAGATGTTCATAACCAAGCACGTCCAAGACATCATCGGCCTTGAAAGCAACATCGCTCAGCTGCTTCAACCAGACTTTGACAGGCTCATCAAGTTGCCTCCTCTCTGCATCTTGCAAGAAAGCTCGAGTGAGAAATGTTGGTAATGCTTAATTTGTAACAGTCTTTTAAAGGATTTTAATTCTATGTTTAATAGAATTAAATTATGATTTGGAAGTGATTATTTTGCCCTCACTATTTAGCCTATAAATAGAGGACAATTTCATTCACTTTGATATATCCCAAGCAAACATTTGCTTTGAAACACTCCTATATTTTGAGTGTTGTTTGAGTTGAGAGAAGAGCAATACCACCAAGTTCACTCCAGTTTTCGGGTGTACGAATTTTTGGAGAGCCGTGTTAACCTCAGGGGTTGTTCGTCCATTGTAGCGATTACACACATCGGGGCGAATTTGCTTCTAAGGCAGTGGATTACCACGACACGGTTATCATTCTGATTGATTATTTTATTTAATATTTTCCAGTCAGTGCTAACGCCTCGTTTTGCAGCAATCTATTTTACCAACAATTTAGAAGCAACTTATTATTGCTGCTAAATACGACAATAATTACTATTGTTCTTGTTGTGAAGAAAGATGGATTCTATGATCACTGAAAAATTATCGGTAAGAAACTCAAATTGTTCCTGTTACTAATATTGAGGTAATATTATTTTACACACTTTTGAATAATCTAGTGTGTTAATCTAAAACATTTTTCGGAACGGTTCTTGTTTATAAGATGAACATACGTTAGAAATGTTTAAAAGCAGAATATTTTAGCTTAAATCAAATTCTGCACATCAGACACATCATTTTAACAAATGCTTTTAATGTTTTGTTAAATGCCTTTATGTATGAGGTCTAAAACCATGTGAACGTTAGCAATTAAGACTATTTAACATTGGTTTTACCATTGGTTTTAAAGGTGAATAAAAAGGCATTTGTGATAAAGCTATGTGATAAAGGTATATTAAATGGTTTTAATTTCTATTATTACCTTTGATTAGAAAGGTTTGTAATATAAAAAAAAGAAGAGGTAATAATTATTGTTTAAATGTCAAACGTTTTACCTTTGAATGTGTTAGAGATTAAAGTTATAAATGACTTTAAATTGGATTTATATGAAAATCCTTTAAAGGTATTTGATTAATTTTTGTAACATCATAATCAAGGAGAAATGATTTTTAGAATTCATGGTTGTTTAAACGTTTAAAACGTTTTTGAATATATACATATATTTTATTGCTATAGTTTAGAATATAGTAAAATAGGTATTTGGGAAAAAGATGATTTCAATGCTGAGATGCTTTAGATGCTATAATGATATGAGTTATAACCACTGTTAGCATAATGAGAATTTATATATTTATTAATATGCTATAACGGTTTCACTAATGTGATTTTTGTAACTCATTATGTTGTTATATTAAAAGGAGCATGTTAAAAGGTGTTGTTACATGAGTTAAAGGTGAGTAACATCTTTATTTACTAATACGTTTGGGTTGAAACAATTCTATGCATTTATTATAACTTTAAATATTGGATTTATATTACTTTGTAAATAAGTTTGAATTGAAACGTTGAATAATTTTAATTGGCCATTATTTGTGCAAATTATAGCTTTAATGGTGTTTATTTACAAAGTAATATACAGATTGAAGTATTAGCCGATAGTGGTTTCACTCGTTCTCGTTTGGGTCTTGGTTCACGAGAATGTTGAAATTGGTTAATTTATTATTATTTTTATAATAAATTTTGAATTGTTATTGAAATGCCCATTTGTTATATGCATGGTGAAAGAAACCTTTAATGTGCATTAAGGTTAATCAATTTAAATGCAATAAAGCTTTGCATTAATTTTTACATGAAACTCATGTTTACACCTTTAGTGTTGCAGTTTCATGATTTTTTTTAATCTTAAGCATGAATGTTAATTATAATCATTATATTTAAATGGTTTTTAAGTTTCAATAGGAGGTTGAACAGTTTATTAAATAGCTATATATATGTTTGTTAATAGCTATATAAATGTTGGTGTTTAGTAAATGTTCAATTTTGAAACTTATATGCTATAATCAAGAAGTGACATGATTATAATGTTGATTAACATTTTTGTGAGATAATGCATGTATGATTGGTTAATATGTGGAAAAGATTAACTATTTATTTTCATGTGGGGGTAAGATTATTCAGTTTCTGAATATTAAGTTGAAAATAAATTTTATCATAATAATAATTTCTTTTGAGAAATTTATAAAGACAACAGGATGGTTGTAATTTTGGAGAATCATGAAGATGATGATGCAAAGAATGAAGTTGCATGCATGGTGAGAATGAACAAGTCTATTTGGAATTGTGATTCTACCTGTGAGGTCAGATTGTTTAGACTTGTTGCCTGTTAATTCATGCCTTTTAAATACATGAATTAGATTGCATGAGCCTTTAAGAAAGTCTTTAAAACTCAGTGGATACTATAAAATGAGATAAAACCGCTATTAAAGACTAAGGTAGTACTACTAAGGCTAAGGCAGTAGTTTGAGCCCAAAATTTATATGCGTAATAAGATACTATTGTGAGTAAAAGTATCAAGCATAATTATTTAAAGAGATCTTATTTAAAGAAATAGAAAATTCACAAAAGATTTATTGGAAAGTAGTGTGATGAGTATGAAAGTGCATGTCTAGGATTGGTTCTATGAAGACTTAGTACTTAAGCGTGCCTAGTGCACCACCTCTCTTTCATAGAAACCTACCTGGTGCATTGTTCATTACTATGCTCACTATTCCAATAAATCTTTTGTGAATTTTCTCTTTCTTTAAATAAGATCTCTTTAAATAATTATGCTTGATACTTTAACTCACAATAGTATCTTATTAAGTATATAAATTTTGGGCTCAAACTACTGCCTTAGCCTTAGTAGTACTACCTTAGTCTTTAAGAGCGGTTTTATCTCATTTTATAGTATCCACTGAGTTTTAAAGACTATCTTAAAGGCTCATGCAATCTAATTCATGTATTTAAAAGGCGTGAATTAACAGGCAACAAGTCTAAACAATCTGACCTCACAGGTAGAATCACAATTCCAAATAGACTTGTTCATTCTCACCATAAATGCAACTTCATTCTTTGCATCATCATCTTCATGATTCTCCAAAATTACAACCATCCTGTTGTCTTTATAAATTTCTCAAAAGAAATTATTAGTATAATAAAATTTATTTTCAACTTAATATTTAGAAACTGAATAATCTTTCTTAAAACTTAGTGCAGAAGTTAAAAGAGTAGAGATTAATTTGGTTTAGTGGAATACCAAATTTAGTCATAGTAAATAAAATATATGATGATCTCTTTAAGGCTAATATGTTGAATATCATGAATGAAAATATGATAGACACTATTACTACTAAGAGTGTGTTGTAGCTATTAAATCTCTTTAAGTGATTTTCCTAAGTAGAGGAAAGAAAATAGATTATCTATTTCATAATGGTTTATGCATTTTAATCTTAATGATTTGTAACTTCTCAAAACTTTGAGAATATAATTATGTGTAAACAAAACTTGAGTTTGTTAAAATATAGTTTTATGGCTAAAACTCATAACAAACTTTACTCTAGTATGATTGAGTATTTGTTTACACGTTTTACAAGACACTTATGAATATCCTAAAATGTTAGAAATGTGGGGGTGTCTTAAAATGTAGATTAAATGCATAAACTCATATAGAAAATATTCTATCCACTTCTTCTAGTATTCCTGCTAGGTTTTCTCAAGAAATTAATTTCGAGCCTAGAAGAAGTAAAAGGCTATTTGGACCAAATTTTATCACTTCCTTTATTTTTGAGATAAATGATTTAGACTCTCTTTCTGATCATATAGCTTAAATGTTATATGAGGATCTTAAAAAAGCTATAAGATCTATCGATGCTAGTTTCTAGAAAAACGCTTTTAATGATGAACTAGAATCGATAATGTCTAATTATACTTGGGAATTAGTTTACTTGCCTAGAGGATTTAAACCAATCTGTAGCAAATGAATCTTCCGGAAGAAAATAAGATCAGATGGTTTGATCCAGTGGTACAAGGCAAGGCTAGTTGTCAAAGGGTTCACTCACAAGTTTGTTTTAGACTACTTTGATTCTTACTTTCCCGTTATAAACATCTCAAAGATCCGTGCATTATTTGCACTAGCCTCTATTCATAAATTGCAAGTACATCAAATGGATGTTAAGACTGCATTTTTGAATGGAGATCTAGATGAGGAGATCTATATGGGAATAATGGTACAAGAAATTTCATAAAACTATACTTAGTTTTGGTTTTATTGTGAATGGTTAGTTTTGGTTTTGTTGTGAATGGTTCGGATGCTTGTGTGTATTTGAGGATGTTTGGTATTGATTGCGTCATCATAAGTTTTGTATGTTGATGACATGTTGATTTTCAGTTCTAACATTGAGTCCATTAACAAAACAAAAGTTTCTTGTCCACTAAATTTTAGATAACGAATTTGGGAGAAGTAAATGTAATATTAAGAGTCGAAATTATCAAAATGGAAAAGGAATTTTCTTTAAGTCAAGCACACTATCTTGAGAAAGTGTTAAAGAAATTTGACAGTTTTGATGTCGTCCCTGTTCGAACCCTTGTGACCCTAGCATATATCTCTTTAAGTCAAACTGAATATGCTAAATTAATCGGAAGCTTAATGTTCTTAATGAACTATACTCGGCCTGATATTGCTTATGTTGTGAGTAGACTGAGTAGATATACTCATAATCCGAGTGGTGAACACTGGATTGCACTTAAACGCTTACTGAAGTATCTTAAGGGTACTTTGGATTGGAAACTTGAGTTCGCTGTCTTTCCTGCGGTACTGGAAGGATATTGTGATGCCAACTGG